TAATCCTATGGTAGTGTTGGTGTCCTAGAGGTCTCAAGGCGACCGCTCCGTGCTCTCCGCCACCGTACTGAGCCCCTGCGTTTACTATTAGCGCTACTTGATAACTGCTACGGCCACCAAACGATGGCAGTGACACGGTGTTGGTAAGCCGCTAGAAACATAGCTGACAAGAAGCAAAGGAGCACCATGAGCTCAGAAGACCTACTTCGTTATGTAGTAACCAGTTCAGCCCTCTTCACTTCTCCTTTGAGACATCTCTGGTTTTGGGACCGAGCCACTGGGCCCGTCTAAAAAGCTTGCCACCAACCAGCCCACCCTCGTTGCCCGTTTTCCACGCATCCGTAACGTTGAAAGAGCGTAGAAGTTATCGTTGACAAAAATTGCCATTATAAATCAACGACGTCCAAATATGGTTACTGTACAATATGCTTCGCAATTTGCGCACCTTTACAAGATGACGGCTAAAATAAATGAGTATGGCGAGAAAGAAAAAGAGAACTGCTGACTAACTTTTCTATTAAAGCTCGAAATAATTATGTACCAGCGTAACTGTGGGATGTGGAAAAACAAGTTAGGAGGCTTTTTTTTTTTTTTGAGTGAATGTTGGCGAAATGGGTGGGAGCGAAGCTGGAAATATATCGACATCATATGGTAAAAAAGCGGCTTGAACAAATCGTCATTACCAAATAACTTGACTTGGCTACAGGCTGGCCTGCGGACGTTTTCGCCTTTTCTTTGACAACTGAACCCGGTGAACAGGCAAACTTGTCCGGGGCCTCTCGGCTCGCAGCAATCTAGGCCACCAAGGGGCTGCGATAGTACTAGCGTGCTGTTATTGCTTCAGCTGCCACTGTATAGTCTAAAATCAGTTTCTCTTTTGCCTTCGGCACGCTACATCCAAGCGGGAGGCTTACAACCGAAAGGGCGCTCCGACAAGCAAACGACAGGCAGCTGAGCTTGCCTTAAAGCCAACGGGCAGCGACCGACCGACCGACCGACCGACCGACCGACAACTCCTATTCAGTCGAGCAAGAACTCTGGGCGTTATCAAGTCCGTGGTGTAGGCGCATACGATACACGATACGTTCGCTTCACTGCTCGCGCATCGGAAAGATGCTGCTGCGAACCTCGCTGCTGCTAGCACTTAGCCAGCCAACTAGCAACCCTCTTAGAAGTCGCCTTTGCTCCCCTTCGCACTATCCGAGCTCTTCATGCCCGTCGTCGCCCCCTTCATCGTATTCTCTGTTGCGCCCGTTATCTTCCTTCTCCCTTTTCTGGCAGGACGAAAAACGGTGCCGCGGGCAGCGACAGAAGCTGCCGTCTACACTGCTGCTACCACCATAGCGAACACTGTCAGATCAAATTTGAGCCTCAATCAACTTGATGCCTGTCTCACTACTTGCGTCGGCACCCCACTAATAAAACCATGCTGACGCTAGCAGCAGTACCAGCTACGCCACCCCGGGCAAAGTTCATGCGGTGGCTACGGCCGCTAATGAAACACATGGCCTCACAAACATACATATATGTACGTTCGGCGTGTGTACGTGTCGATGATGCATAAACGTGATACGATACGCGCGTAAGATTTATGTCTCATTATATCGAATACAACAGCCACCAACGTTCGTCTTCCTGTCATCTCACAGTATAAAATAGAGCGAAGTAAGGGTGGAGGGATAGAGCTAGAAGTGCTTAGAAGGGACTACTATAGAAAGCAACAGAATAACCCGTTTTCCCGCTTGCTGGTGATGATGCCGAGACAGTCGTAAGATTTAGCGCCTACGCTAGCGCCGAGTACGTTGTAGCCGCGTACCCGTCGACGACGACGCCAAGGGTGTCGGCTACCAACGTCCATTTCTTGATTTTGTAAGCCCAATTTTAAATCGGCAATAGCAAAGTAGCCACAGCGAATGCGATGTCGCCCGAAGAAAAAAGAAAATCGCTGAACGAAAAGTGAGAAAAGAGGATAGAGAAAACAACTTCGAGCCGCCATAGGGTTTATCCATTCTTTTATTCTTGCCTCACTACAAAAGGCTATCTTAGATTACGCAAAAGTCCTAATGCGTTGGCAAGTTGATTTTCTCCATGCGACAGAGCGTCCCGCAATTCAGACTGTGCTTACCCATTTGCCCTAACTTTTGCGTAGGACCAAATGACATAGGCAGTAGCTGGCTGGCTGCCTGGGTGAGTGGCTCGAACGCCTTGCCTGCTGCTGTGGTCTCGCAATCAGATGGTTGGGTAGAAGGGTGAACGCGAAGTCAAAGGAAGCAGAGAGGGGTGGTTCGTAGTCGTAGGGGTAAATGGGAACTGCATACAGATCGAAGCTAGCCACACGTTCCCAGAAAAGCGTCAATGTAGGCACACGAGGAAGCCACAATAAATTTCATGTGTCTGTTCTTGCGCTTTCGCTCGCGCGCACTTTTGTCTTTTTGCGTCGCTGCAGCTGGCTTTTTTCCGTTTGAGCCGTCTTCTACTTCCTCTACACCCCTACTATGTCTCGTGCTGCAGACACGGTACTATTACTGCAAGTACGGCTTCTACTCGTTCATCCCCTACTGGCGCTTTTCGCTGGAAGCGAACAGCGACAACAATTTCTCCGACCTCATCTCCGTTGGCTGACTTGCTTGTTTGGCTCGCCATGCCATCACCAGCACCGCGATCACCATCTTCACGCTACGCCGGCTGCGTGTCTTCCATATCCTTCCCATTTTGTGGCGGCCCACCTTTGTCCTGTGCGTCGACAAAATAGACGATAGTGCAGGACAGGGTAGCAGAGGTGCATTCGAGTCCGCTCCAGGGAGCAGTCACTCAACTAAGCCTGCACATCTGTAATGCGTGTTCCAATCGTTCGAAGGCTTCACGGATATTGGGTGGATTGTGATGGTTAGTCAGGCCTGTGCAAGTCTCGCTCGTAACCTGAAATCGACTAGGGGACAGAAATACTACACGAGGACAAGGTGGAAAAATGAGAAAGGCCCACAACAAACAACTGCGTTCAGGACATAAGTCCCAGCTTGACCAGATACATCTCCTATTGGCTGTTTTGCTCACGTACCTCTAATTTTATATGGAACAGTTTTACTCCATCGTCATGTTACATAGCACCAATATGCACTATGAATGATCTGTGTTTTATTTTGATTTTCCCGTCTTCAGCATGATATTCCATTTGTTATAAAAAAAAATAGCTGTTTTAGCACAGTAAAAATACAGAGTAAATACATTTATAATTTCGATTTTTTTCAATCGTTATCATATTATTATACATACATACATATATACAAGTGTGATCAAATAAACAAGATACTATGATATTTTACTTAACGTCCTCTCTTACCTGGTTTACGACGCAACAAATAAAACGCGTGGGAGAAAAGTAATTGATGGTTCTTACATTGTAGTTCAAACCTAGTAAAACAAATATCTTAAATCCATCTCTACTTTTTTTCCACCTCTTTTTAATACCTTTTTTTTTTATTAGAAGCTGTTCGAAATCGAGGTGATACAGAACAGCTACTAGTATTGAGTGCTTTCTATTTCATCTAAAAATTGATAATATTTAGAGTGCCCCGGATAAATTGATGTTTATAAGCTGAATTTAACAAAAAAAAAATCGAAAAATTGTATGGGCGCAATTTTTCGCATATGCTGACAACAGTATCCCTCAAAAGTATGTTTAGCCAATGTAAACTAATCGTATTGTCGATTTGCCTCGATCACGGCTTCAGTACTGGGGCATACTTATCGTAAGTTTTTTTTTTGCTTGCAAAGAACGTGTTAATAGTATCTGATGTAAAGCGATATCGGAGGTCTAATCTTATTTGAACACATCAGCTACAAAAAAAGCCCACTGGTTTGAACTTTTGAGCTGATAGCACGTTAAACATCCAAAGGGCTAAACTGGTGAAAATGTCGCAAGGCAATAGAGGGGACAAACCAGTTGAATTAACTAACTTCTAAAACTTATTTATCCAAGCCGGCTGATAGCGACTCTATCAAAGAATAGCTATCAATTCTTAAATCTAAGATAAGCAGAAATGTTTTTTTGCATTTCGATGCATTTTCGACCCCCTTAAATGCAGAACTTCCTTGCATTTGTTTGCTACGTCTCACGGGATTTTTCAGAACGCGCAATGGGGCACGGCGTAATTAATAAATTGTGTCAGCCAAAAAAAGATTAATATTGAAATATCAACAGGAACTCGTTCGGTGCAAGGACATTGGCTAGTAGCTGGTGTCCTTGCACCGAACGAGTCACTAATATTTGAAGATCCACCCGATCTACCTATAATAAGATCGGGGTTTCGATCTGGAAAAAAACTAGCTTTCCTTAAGTGCCTAAAGTAGTGAAGAAACAATTCCTGCAATAAACAGTCGGCCAAAACGTATCTCATTCCGAACACCCATATAAATATATATGTGGGTGTGGGAAATAATTACTAAAGTAATCCGGACGGCTTGTGGTTGATAACGAGACAATGAAAGGGAGTCGCTGTCAATTAAGCACAAGTACAACAAAATATGTATGAATACAGTGTAAATAATATATATATATATATGATCTGACTTATATAAAAGTACATCGTCAAGTTTATAGGCCCTTTGACAGTGGCAAGATTTATCGTGAAGTTTCGACAAGCCTATGGCTCCAAAATAACTTCAATAGCTATATGTTTATTCAGCAAAAGGGTTACAGTAGCCGTAAGTCTGCTAAAGCAGTTATTACCAGTTAGAAGGCCGTAGAAGCTGACGCTAACTAGTAATTGGTATATGTTAGTAAATATCTGCGTTTACCTATATCAAACCTGCATGCATATCTATGTATACTATATAATAATATCAACAAGGACATGTATCATTATTCGATAGCCATGAATACCGAAGAACATCTAACATCATAGTATCGAATACGCTGGCTAATATTTGATCTTTCGTGTTCTGCCGGCCCCTTCCGTTTGGGGCGGTTGGTCGTCTTGTGCGTTTCGTTCATGTTACAGCTCTATGGAACGGCTCGAACGCTGTCTACAGGCTGCCTCTACAGATGCAGGATGTCGCGACGAGGTCCGCTTCATCGTCGAGCATATGACCGCGACCGCCCGAAAACTCATACATTCGCTATATAAGATCCAATGTAACAAGGTCGACTGTTCGTCCGGCGCGGGCAGATCAGTGGGCCATGCATCGTGGTCATTATTAGCGTTGAGTTCGGTAGCCGTCATACTACGTACCGCCCTACAAGAAGGAACCCTATTGGCGCTCAGATAATGCTCAACCAGCCAGGCTGCCTCGCTTACCTTCTCCCTACTCACCGACAGAAAAACAACAATTACTGCCGCTATTACTATTATTACTGCTACTGTTTAGGTCACCATTTGCTACCTGTAACCTTGGACAGGAGTGAAGCCCGCAGCCGAGCGCTGAATCTTCGTACGCTTGCCGCAATAATTGTAGTAATCAGAGAAAAACGGAAAAAGTAGCAGCAGCATCGGCATCAGTAACAACGGCAGCAGTTACTACTAAAAATGTTCATGATTATCACCTACAGAACTGGCATTCCAAACTCTTTTCGTTGATGATGTTGCTGGTGCTGCTGTTGCTTCTACCAAACCAATAACGATAACAATCAGAGGAAGAAAAAACAATGGGGACAACAGTGAAAATAAGCAAAAACCACAATAAGCAAGCACTAAAAACAAACGCCTCCCCGGCCCATCCTTCCCGTCCAGCTTCGTTCGTTCGTCCATTCATTTGCTCCTTTCCGACCAGCGGCGCTCGGGTTGCGATTAATGACGGCGGGAAAAAAAATTATAGAAACAAAAAATGATGATGGAAACATCGGAACGTAACGACTGGCAATCGATGTAATCGGTAACCATTGTTAACATAAATCTGAGACGCCGAGCTGTTTGAAAGGCGGAACGAGGGGACAGGTAGTGCGGGGAGATAGAAGGAGCCAGGGGGAAAAAAGGAGAATGAGACAAATACGCGAGCGCCAAGGAGAGCGGTATAGAACATTTGTTTGATGATGAAGGTAATAAGAGAGCAGACGACGGGAGACTGTTACGATGATAATCATGGTGGCCGGGATGATGATGACAACGACCCTTGAAGAAGTGATACTGCGTAGCGAAGGGTTGAGGACCGTATCAATTAACGGATGAGAAATAATAAACAGAATCAATCTTGTAATAATCAAACCTGCAATACGATATTTTCACCATGAGTTGTTTCTATTGACGAAAGAGAGCACACAGAGTAAATACATAACTAAACACGGAGAGCTGCAAGGAAAAGGAAGTGAATAGCGAGACAGATACGCAGATAGATAATAAGAATTGCCAATTATTTCCACTTATTATAATAATAATTATTATAATGATTATTTATTGCTATCACTATTGTTGTATTCGTACCGCATTGATTATACATTGACTGAGAGAGGGCGGCACGCGAAAATGAGTTGTCTCCCTTCAACAATAGCGATTATTATTATTATTGAACGGCGTTTCCGTGTATAGAAGCACGGATGTCAGCTGCTCACGTTTATATATACAATAGAAGATGTGCTGACGTGACACAATAATAATTATAAAAACAATCTCAATAACAATGTTGTCAGCGATGTGTCAAGCACAAATCAATAATTATACAACGTAATTAGTGATAATGGCAACACTGACACATAATGAAAACGGAAACAGACCCAAAAGACGCCCATGGAACACACACACACACAGGGAACAAAAAGGTGGTATAAAACAAACAAGAGAGGGTAGGCGATTGGTGTATACACACAGCAGATTTATAAAGATACAAACACACATTCAGTCGCTTGCATGAAGCGTGTATGTAACACATTCGGAACGGATCGATGCTAACGGCAATTTTACTAGACGACGACGACGACGACGACGACGACGACGACGACGACGACGACGACGACGACGACGACGACGACGACGACGACGACGACGACGACGACGACGACGACGACGACGACGACGACGACGACGACGACGACGACGACGACGACGACGACGACGACGACGACGACGACGACGACGACGACGACGACGACGACGACGACGACGACGACGACGACGACGACGACGACGACGACGACGACGACGACGACGACGACGACGACGACGACGACGACGACGACGACGACGACGAACGGCGACGACGACGACGACGGCGACGACGACGACGACGACGACGACGACGACGACGACGACGACGACGACGACGACGACGACGACGACGACGACGACGACGACGACGACGACGACGACGAGAAAAATAGCAGTAATAATTAGAGTAAATATCTATCAAGAGCGTTTTTTTACATCGAAAATGGGAATGACTTCTGGGTCATTTTCCAATGTGATGATACGACTCACCTCATATTTGTTATCAACGCTTCATACACGTCATCATACGTTTAGTTCTTGCTCTCCGTTTTGCCCTGTGACTCTAAGCTTTAGACTTTCAATTTGTGATAATTTTTCTGCCTCTGAGATCCACCTCGGTCATCTGGAGTCAATCATTTTTACGTCATAGACCGTCTGCTCAACACCGGCAGAATTATTCACACGCATTTACTCGTGTTCATTAAACGCTAATCGAGAGCGAGTCAGAGTTTAGGACAGGCGAAAGGCTAAATAGGAATAGGGAAAACGATAGCTGAGATAACTGTTGTAAGTTAAACGAGTCGCGTAATAAAAGTAACTTTCTTGCGCGTGGTAGTTACTTAGAAACGGTTTTGTTCCAAACGAAGCCAATCTCAATGCATCTCGTCTAATATTGCGCCTTTTCTCTTCCAACGTCATAATAGTTACACTACGATAAGGTATCACAACAATAAACATCTCGTAGCAGAAAAAGTTGATAACGACGAACTGTGCAAATATCCTTGAAAGTTAACTAAAATCAATTGAACATGCGAATATTTCGAAAGCATTTTTATAACAATAATAATGAGCCCATTAACGCTTTGCTTGTTTGCAAAGGTTATCTATCTGATTGACTTGGAATGGACTCAACTTAAATCGACAGCGCCTGCAACAACGGCTGAAACAGGAAATTTCTACTTCGAGACAAACACTTTCAGTTGTCAGGTTCTGTTGAATATATGGGAATTCGGGTGACGTCAGGTTAGCGTCACTCTTCGTCAATCCTTTCAATTTATTCTCACCCACCGATTCTGTCTTCCATCTGCAATACGGCTACGGCAGTTGTAGGCCGTCTACTGCCTGTCCGTTACGGTTAACGCTGGTTGACATTGGTCTGTTACAGCCTTTCAAATGGTTTTAATAGGTTGTGCTTCGCTAAAAACGGCATCAAAGATACATTGATGAAACGGGCTTTTTCTAGATGGAAAAGGCTTATCACTTGATGCTGAGGTAATGTGTTACGGTATTGTTATTAGAATACGTTTTGAGGACAGATGCTAATGCAGCTGATTTTTGAGTATCGGATCGATCAGCTGGTTAATCTTCTTCCGTAAAAAAAGGCCAACCCCTAGCGATTATGTAGCAGACTATCATGCCGCCGAAAAACAATAATACCGTTTTATTGCTTACTGGTATATGATATTGTACTGGTAATACTGGAGACTGCTTGTTCACATCGGTTAAACCAAGTGACCAGGATGCAGTGTCTGATGTTTTCTTTAAGAAACAGTTATTAGGCTCTTGAGGTATATGTCATTTGTGACGACCGTGATGGGGGTTAGTTTTATGACAGTACTTTCTGTGTTATTTTGGTTTTTTTTCAAAGGCGTGGCGAAGAAAAATGATGAGTTAAAAGCAAGAAAATCATGTCTCATCACATCCTTCTCTATCCAACTTCCACGACGCAATACCATAATGAAACAATGATGCCTGGGTGTTGTAACGCTGTTATGTTAAATGGGATTGGTGACAACTGAAGAATGCCATGTACCCTGTACTGATGATGCGCGAGATAATTATGCTGCGGGGCAGTAACATTGTATTTCTTGTCTTTACTGCCGGCAGAGGCTCTGATATAATAGCAGATTTGTTCTTTCCTAAAAATGTAAACTGATATATATATATATATATATATATATATATATGGGTGGGTGTGTGTGTGTGTGTGTGTGTGTGTGTGTGATACATAGTTACACATATACGAACGAGTTGGCACACATGGACAGACAGACGAGCATGTCCCCATAGTAGACACGTTTACATAAAACTGACGGAAGCATGAAGGTCAATAATATAGGATGAAAGATAGATATTGTATCAATGAAATGTGTTTGAATTTTGAAACACAAACAGCGATGAAACAGAAACATAATATAACGGCACATATTTCAAAGACCTTCCCCTGTTCGCCGCTTTGCACCTACAAATCATAGCGGTGGACATCGCGCGTCCAGTCGTACTGAAACCGTCACGCACAGCCAGCTATCACCGTGCGCCAACGATCGAAGGCTCTGGCTTTGTTTGCAACATGATTTCGACTTGTTTTTAGGCCCGTCCTGCTGCGGTCACAGCAGTGTCCAACTTCGGCCTCTTTGGTCGCCAGACGCTGGTAAATAGCCGGTGGGAGCGGGATATAAATAATAGATAGGTGTACTTAGGCACGATGAGAATGTATCATAATAAGTAGAACTGATGTTATAAAATAGAAGTTGAATGGTTGGAAGTGTAGTATACGATCACGTCATGACAACAATAATGTTAAGATACTGTTGACATTGCTGGTGTAGTAGATTTACTGACAATGACGATTAACAAATGGAATCCAATAACCACCGGTGATGGTAATAATTAGTTGATAATAACAAAAAAACATGAATGTACTGATGATGATGATGATCATAATGTTAGTAATAGAAAAATATAATATTGAAACTACGGATGAATGTAGGACACGGACGAAGGAACAACTCTCGGCTTAATTAGGGTAATAAAGAAAAATTCATATATATATATATATATATGAAGAGGTACGTCGCCCGCCAACCCAAGGAAAGTAACCGTAATTCTGTGTTCCGACTGTGTTTTTTGAAAACAGTGCGATCTAGTGTGACTTGAGATATACACACATAAATATGTATACCTAATAAATTTTTCACCGAGTATCTGTCATTATGTGAATGAATAGGAAAAAGCTAAAATATACTAAAAGAAAAGCACCAATGTAACGATCCACGAGAAAAACGTTCGACCGCGATCTACCTCCAGTACTTAATTGCTACCACACATAATTCTGTTACGAAGGTCGCCATTCGAAAAGCCGCGCATGTTTTCAAACTCCCAAATTGTCCTCGGCAAGAATTGCCTACCATCAGTAGATGTGCTATGATATCAGTTGATAGAATGCGTCACCGCAGCACCAAGGCCTAGGCTTGTGCCTGTCAAAAAGCCTTAATATATTGGCGTATATAATGAAGAATCGAGTGGTAGACAAGTAGCTTTGTTTATTTTGATTTTGATGATTTTTCTAGGGCCAAAAAAAGAAAAGTAGAGACGTGAAAATTGTCACAAATCGATTTTCAATACAGATTCTATTTTAATGTTACCATAAACCTTAATAACAAAGATTATTTTTCATTATTATGAGACAAAAGCAAGGCAAGGCGCAAAAAATAACATCGATCAGTGTGAATGCAATTAGATCACGCGTCCATACCTGAACAGCGCAACATTCTATATAATACATAAGAAAAGGAAAGCTGCTTTGTTTCTACCGATACATTCTAGCGTATTTGTTATTACCTACCTATTTTGTGTATTGTTCTTCGCTATGCTCAATTCGTTAACACGGATATCAAAGTAAATGAATCGATAACATTCGATAATGGGAAAAACAAAAAAAAAAAAAAAAACTACGGAAAAACAGTCAATGACAACACGCGGCAAAAATGAAAAACATGTCTCTATTTGTCACACAGTTTATCTCGTTTTTTTTTTTCGGTAATTGGGAGCACCTTCATTTATTTCTTATTCTCATTGTCATTACTAATCGCCGTGGTCGTATATTAGTTAAATATGACAGCAATTGCTTTCGTACACTATACGCTGCTAGACAATAGTATCGCTTTCTTTTTTTTATTTCTGGACAACTTATTGTATAAAAGATGGAAAATAAAGTACTTTATCTTTTCAATTTGTCTTCCCGTCTTTTTTAGTTGTTCATATTGGTTAGGTTAGGTTAGGTTAGCGTTGTTAATTTAGGTTCATTTGAGTTCAACCATTAAGTTTCAGTTATTCCGATGAAGCGCTAGGTCAAGTGTGTTACGACCACCAAAAAAAGCTGACACGCTTACGCATGCCTTATTATATATATATATATATATATATGCCTTATTACATATATCTGTCAAAATCGTTGACTTTAAAAACACTTGATCCGCTTGTATAATTGTCAGCGAAAATGATTTAGAATCACGGTACTGAGTGTCTTACTTCTATCTTCCGATCGGACGCTATTTCTAATTACCCTCAACGGTTATCGCCGTCTATTGAAGTTCCGATTTTTTACTGGCTGATTAACATTAATGATAAAGCGATAATTAAATAATAAAAGATGAACAAAAATACACAGACGTAATACGTTAGTCATTAGCACGCAGCAGTCGAAATGGTAGTTATTTACAACTATTACAGGTATTACAAACGAAAGGACTCATCTTAATTTCCGTCAAAAAGTTGACTATGGGTAGTAAAATGTTGTTCAATACCATCTCCGCCGGCGGTATTCTGCTCAGCTGCTGCTGCTGCTGCTGCTGACTTGAGTGAAATATCAGCGTTACCTCACGATACTAGAACGTGCGGTCACCGCTGTCATACACCGGGAGCGCAATAACACGTTATTTTTTATAGAAATTTTTTAAGCGGTCCACAATGGCCGACCAGGATGAGTGGTGGCGCTAGTACGAGGTGCACGACTCTCGATAACTGCGACAAAATCGATGCGACCACT